GATGGAACAAGGATTTGGTGGACCAATATTACATTGAGAATGCCCGGTGATCAAGTAACTTGGTCTTTATTCTTAGAAGAGTTTAAGCATAAATATATCAGAGATCAGTTCATCCAACAAATGAAGCAGGAGTTCATGAATTTGAAGCAATGGAATCGTACAGTGTATGAGTACGAATGTGAATTCAACAAGTTGAGTCGTTTCGCTGCGGAGTTAATTCCTACAGAGAAGGATGTTTGCGATTGGTTTGTAGAGGGATTGTGTCATCGTCTAAAAGAGATGGTTATTGTGTTGAATTTATCTTCATTTCAAGAAGCGGTGAACCGTGATAAAGCTCTAGAAAGAGCTCAAAATAAGAGGTTTAGGGATTCCTGAGTTCAAACTTCGAAAATATTGGGTGCATCATCGAGTACTGCACCATCAAAAAGGGGCAGATATGTGAGTTCTCGACCCCAAGCGAGATCAGAGTCAATTGCATCTTCTGCAAGGGGATCAAATCAGATGAGTGGTCGACAGACACAGTCAGTGGGATCTGGAGCCGGGAGATCTAACCCGAGCCAAGTCAGACAATGTCCACATTGTGGAAGGAACCATTAGAGGATATGTAGAATGATTTCATGAGCCTATTTTAAATGTGGGGACACCGGACATTTTTTTCGGAATTGTTCCATGTTATAGGGTGAATCTGCTCATCAAGAGAGATCTGCATCGGCTACCCAGAGAGGAAGAGGTAGAGGTAGAGGTAGAGGTAGAGGAAGAAGTCAGTCATAATCCTCGACTCCACAAGAGATACGCTCCACAACTCGGGTGTATAATCTCAAGACTAGCAAGGATAAAGATGACCCATAAATAATAGCAGATATCTTCCAGTTTTATGACAAGAATATGTTTGTATTGATTGATTCGGTGTCTATATATTCTTACATTTACAGTAAGTTGGTGAAAGAATTGAATATTTCGTTAGAATCTACTAGCAGTGAGGTAATAGTAACTAATCCATTAGGACGTAGTGCTCGAGTCAATATGGTGTGTCGAGGGTGTCCCATACAGATTCAGGGAATTAAATTCCCTACTAATCTGATGGAATTACCTTTTGACGAATTTAAGTTGATACTGGGAATGGACTGGTTATTTCGTTATTACACTAATGTTGATTGTAGACTGAAAAGAGTAACGTTGAAAAGTTCATAAGATATAGAAGTTATTGTATTTAGTGAAGGATGGAACCCATTGGCTAATGTAATATCAGTGATGTCGGTAAAGAAGTTATTACTACAGGGATGTCAAGGGTTTATTGCAAGTGTGCTGGATGTGAGAGCAAAAGAGAAGGGGATTGAAGAAATTCCTATAGTCAGAGATTTTTCTGACGTTTTTCCTGTAGAGTTACCGGGTTTGCCTCCAGATAGAGAGGTAGAATTTCAGATTGAAGTAATGCCGGGAACTGCACCTATTGCCATGTCACCGTACCGAATTGCCCCAAAAGAGCTACAAGAATTAAAGATCTAATTACAAGAATTACTGGACAAAGGGTTTATCAGACCGAGTGTCTCACCATGGGGAGCTTCATTTTTGTTCGTCAAAAAGAAGAATGGATCCATGCGTCTTTGCATTGATTATAGGCAACTCAATAAAGTGACCATAAAAAATAAGTATCCCCTCTCCCAAATTGATGATTTGTTTGATCAGTTAAAGGGAACTTCAGTGTTTTCGAAGATTGATTTATGTTCTGGGTACCATCAATTGAAGATTCAAGATAAAGATATTCCAAAGACAACATTCAGAACGAGATATGGTCACTATGAGTTTATCGTAATGCCATTTGGAGTTATAAATGCTCTAGCTGTTTTCATGGATCTTATGAATCGAATATTTTAACCCTATTTGGATCGATTCGTTATGGTATTCATTGACGATATTTTAGTGTATTCGGAGTCGGAAGAAGAGCATAGTTCACATTTGAAGATCGTTCTACAAACTTTGAGATAAAATAAGATTTATGCTAAACTCTCCAAATGTGAATTTTGGTTGAAGAAAGTGGTGTTTATGGGACATGTAATTTCTGTAGAAGGGATTCGAGTAGATCCCCAAAAGATTAAAGTTATTTTAGAGTGGGAAGTTCCAAAGAATGTGTCAAAAGTTCGGAGTTTTCTAGGGTTAGCTAGCTATTACCGAAGGTTCATTAAAAACTTTTCGATAATAACATTACCCCTAACCAAGTTATTGAGGAAAGAGGTAAAATTTTCTTGGACTCCGAAGTGCCAAGAGAGTTTTGAAAAGTTAAAGAAGATTTTGACAGAAGCTCCAGTCTTGGTTCAACCCGAGTCTGGTAAGAACTTTGTAGTGTACAATGATGCATCTCATAACGGGTTGGGTTGCGTGTTAATGCAAGAAGGCAAAGTGTTGGCCTATGCTTCGAGGCAATTAAAACCACATGAGAAGAATTATCCAATGCATGATATGGAGATGGTAAGAATGCATGTTCATGAATGCATTGTTATATGTATATATATATATTTATATTATGCATCACTAAGTTTATGACTTAGTGTATAAATGATTTACACATAGGTACCAAGAATCAAGAGGAGTAGTAATAGAGAAGGCAAGGACAACATCACTACTAAAAGATCAGATCAGAAGTAATTGACAAAGTAGGTATTTTGGTTGTGTATAGAGTGTTGGCATGTAATAAATGGTTAATTACGAATGCTCTGATCAATGTTGTATTTCGTGGTCACTTTTATGTAAATTAATGTATTTGGTTTTAATGAAAGTTTAAAAATTTCCATATTTTTCTTTAAATGTCAAAATTTGAAAAGTCAGTATGACACATCGTACTCATATTCGGGTCGGATATGGGTTAAGGGTGTTACAAGTAATAGCTACTCCATCGATAGGCAGTCCTAGATGAAATGCATCATCTTACAGAGTAATAATTGCATCCCCACATGGTAAATGAAACGTGTGCGTCTCCGGTCTCCATCTTTCCACCAACGCATTTATAAGTAAAGGATGCAACTTCACACCATCACCAATTATACTACTGATACATCTGAAATCCACTAAATGTAAATAGTTAATAATATTCGCATCAGACAGTGTCGCGCGATTTATATGACACTCTAATACACGTTCATATCCCTACGAAATATAAATATTAAAAAATTATTTAAATACCAAAACAAATAAACTAAATAAATAAATAGTAAAAATATAAAATAATATTAATTAATTTACCTCATGATTTCGAATCTAATAATCGAATATGTGACTTCGATAATGTCTTAATAGACTCGCCCCCATTATGAAATATTTGAATCTTTGAAATGGATGGGTGCGGTGATAAATAGGAGTGTAGGAACATATTTATAACCTTTCTCGCACCTAGAAAATTATGGTTTTAAATGCAACTCGCGTCCTGCAAGATGCGAGTTACGTTGAAAACACGAGGAATTTATTCCTTTCTCAGTACATCGCGTTTTGCAAGACGCGAGATTACTACCAGCTTGTATCTTTTAAATTTCAAAATATATTATAATTATAATTATAATATTATTAATTATTAATTATATTTAATATTTTACACATAATTTTTTATTATTTCAAAATTTACAAAATATATTATAATTATTTTTTATAAAATATCTACTTTAATTACTATATTTATATATTATTGTATTCTAATTATTTATTATATTTAATATTTAATATTATTAATGATTTTTATTATTATATTTATTTATTATATTCATTTAATTTATACATTTCAAATTAGGTTGGTATGCAGAATTCGAAAGAATATCGTGCTTTGCAGGAACAAAGGTCTTTATAAATCTCGCGATATTTTAGATCATAAAGGCTACCTCGTGCTTCGCAGTGCGCATGATCATTTTATCCAATTGTTTTATTGGTTTACAAGAAATTACACCCACATCGAATGTATCTCGCATGTTGGAGGATACAAAGATTTAACACGCGATTTACAGAAAGTAAAATCGTTCGATTTGAACAATTTAAGGGTTGTTCTTCCAAATAATGTTTGAACCATATTTCTTTAAATAATTATTTATTTAGAATTTTTAATATAAAATTATCGATAAAGACAGAAGAATCATATGAGTTTGTCTTTTAAAACAAAAGCTGAAGGGAAAGGGGGTTCTGTTCTGTTGTGTACTTCTGTTTATGTACTTATCATTTTATTTTTAAATTATTAATTGTTTATGATTTGTAAGATCCGAAGAGTTGACTACGTAAGAAACGAATGGCTAAGGAATCTTGCAACGTGGTCCTTCAATAATGTACGGTAAGTTTACAATTGCAGCATGGTATTGGTGGTAATACATATAGACTTTTTTTTTTTAATACACATATTAAGTAAATTAAAACCTATATATTTATGTCAATAATTTTAATAGCACGCGGTTAAAAGTTATATATATATATATATATATATATTAGGTTGTAAGTTTAATCTTTAAGAATAAAATTTCTTTTCTCCCTTTTCCAAGGTAAGAATTATTTAAATTTTCACATATTTATTTAAATCTCAAAATCTAAAATTTTAACTTTAAATTTTAGATATGACACGTCTTTTCCCTCTCCGTTCAAATTGAATTACATCTATAGGTTATTTAATTATCAACAAAATCATAATATGTCACTGGATTTGAAAATTTTATGAATTAATTATTCAATTAATTGATTATTACAAAAATTATTTTATCATTAAAAATAAAATAAATATTATATTTTTAATTACAATCGTATCATTTTATTTATTAATTATAACAATCAATTCACTTAATTTATCGATTACTATAAACTTACAATCAAATCACTTGTTTTTACTTAAATTGTTAACGTTTATTATACACTCAATGATGAAACAGTCTATTTATAATAATTAATTAATTAAACAGCTTGTTTGTATTATAATAATTAATTAATTAATTAAAACTTCAGCTCATATGGCGGATATTCTTTTTGGGTGGGACTTGGAATAAATAACATCTCAAATGAGGGGAAGTAAACTCAGCTACAAAATTATAAGTGAAATGAAAAAGGTCAACACGACAAAAAAAAGATTGTATGGTGAAAACAAAATATTAAAAGTATACACCTTATTTCTACTCTTGTGAAGCAGATGCGGCTTCTTTCAAGTATGTACATCACTTTACCAAGCTTATTGCAAGCATCAAGGCAAAGCTGCATGGCCTGTATATAGCAAATATTCCGTGTGTTATTAGGTAAAATAAAGGGCCTGGATACATATGCTATAGCATTTTGATTTGCAGGAATCAGTAGCCCAAATTTTAAGCAAATCTTCATGAAAAATAGATCAAAACACATACCTCGTTAATATCTGGGGTTGATCATTCTCCTGTAAATGTTAGTTGAGTGACCTCATAACTAGAAGGCATACATGTAAGCACTAAGCTTCCATCTTGGTAGCTTTCCTCTTCACGAATAGGATCAATCACAAGGATTTTCCCTAGACAGGCCTAAAAACCGAAATTATGCATTAAACGCATGAGAAATGATTAAAGTTCTTCAAAATGGAACTCAAAAAGTACCCATTGTTCAAGGTTAGAATAGAAAGGAGAAGAAAACCATTCTATCATGGTTCTAGAGATTGGGATTTGAAGAATGGTAAAATGCCATGCAGAAAAGAACAAGCTTCTAAATATCAATGTGCCTTTTTGTTTTCCGGGTTGTAGCAATTTATCATCAATCCCACTTTAATTGTTCTCAAACACCAACTAAATCAAGTACATTGATAACTGATATACTTGCACTAGCTGTTAGTCGTATTATTTTACTAGTAGAGATAGTAATGGCTAAGTTCTTTGGACTTGAGGAGTATCAGATATGAGTGTGTGTCTGAACCTGACATGGTCTTCTTCTTCTTCTTCTCTCCCGCCCCCTAAACGTTCCATATTTAAAGGACTGTTTCTCATTCCCATGTTTAAGTGTCAGACATGCACTTCAAGGAAAATGAAGAGCTGAAATAACATAGGTAAGGGCAGTGCTCAAATTTATGCCTGCATAATGATCAATGATAAGATTCATATTAGACATATATTCTATGATATTTTCCTCATATTTGAATAACTAAAATTGCTTAAATCATGGATTTTGATTATATTTCGTATTTTGTGGATTAGGTTGAAGATTTGGATAAAACAAGTTCAAAATCTAATGATTAGTATGATCTTCACAAAATCCCCAAATTAAGGAAGAAAAATCGGAATTCAAGAAGTTGGCAAGACCAGAAGAGGTTTTCGCATAAGGCGTGGGCACAGCTTATTCACCCTGAGCTATCGCAGAAGAAGTCTTCAGTTAAGGCGTGGGCACGCCTTACCAGTCCGTACAACCCTAAATTAGAGTTATGAATTTACAAAAGAAAAAGAGTTAAATGACGGCTGGAAGACTTTTTTGAATTATTCTTATCTTTAGAAAAGGATGAGGGCATTTAAAACTCCTATTTTTGTGAGATTTTCTTCAAGGGAAACTTCCTTATCTAGAGTAGGAAAATCCTTATAAAAGGGGAGCTAGGGCATTAGTTTTACATCAAGTTTTCATTAAGTTTTTCTTTTGGTGTTCTTTCAATTATGAGTGGCTAAATACTTTTGTTCCAACTGGAGGATAATTGAAGTTATATTCTTCAAGGATTGTGAGATCTAAATAATTTTCATTGTTCTTTTACTTCTTTGCTATTTATATATCTTATGTTTTTATTAAGAATTATTGTCTTGATTGATTGTGCAAAGGGCTTGTTGTTCAATTATTAGGTTGATAAATTGCCATTTAGAACTTTAAATCCGTAATTGTTTAAACGTTCTAATATTAGTGGTAAAGTAACATAGTTGATTTTGATTATGTTATGAAGATATGTAACCTAGTCTAAATGAATCGAGCTTGTGTATTCGTTGGCTAGAATTGGTGGTCCCTCTAGTGGTTAATGCTGTTGGTGGATTAAATCTTAAGAGCTTGTCTAAGGTTGTTCATTAACAAGGGAAATAATCAAAGAGCTTCTCTTGATTATCGAGAAACTAAGGAGAGACAAGTTGTTAGAGCTTCTCAATAACCATAACCAATTTAGTGAAAAGTAGAAGATTTTATCATTGCACCTATGATCAATTTTCTGAACCAATTCTGAAATTATACCTTTAGTTAGATATTTTCTTAATATTAATCTTTCTAAATTCTTGGTTGATTTTAAATGTTTTTTCTTTTTGATTTCTTCTCGATTTTAAAACCCCTTTTATTTGCTTTAATTTTCATTAAAATAAGTATACCCAATCCCTGTGGATTCGACCTTGCTTACCGCTACTACAAATTTATATTTCTAAAAGCAAGTATTATTATTTGTTGGATTCAACACCCACTAAATTTTTGGCGCCGTTGCCGAGGATTGGTGTCATTTAGAAGTATTTTGATGCTCCGTTCTTCTCGTGTAGGTGAACTCCAATACGATCCTGAAATCGAGAAGACCGCTCGGAGGTTAAGAAAAGAAACTAACTAGCACAACAAACAAGCTTCTTCTTCTTCATCCCCTGAATCAGAATTTGCAGTCAACTTAGTTGATTCATCCAGCGATTCTGAAATAGAAGGAACAATGGCCAACGAAGAAAGAACTCTAAGAGAATTGGTTGCACCAAATGTGAATCAACAACCGCTCTGCATTGACTACCCAACTTTGGAGATAGATTTTGAATTAAAATCTGGTTTGATTCATTTGTTGCCTACTTTTCATGGGCTTGATAATGAAGATCCTCATAAGCATTTGAAGGAATTCCATGTGGTATGTTCAAGTATGAGACCGCAAGGAGTGACTGAAGAGCAGATAAAACTGTGTGTTTTTCCGTTCTTGCTAGCTGATAGAGCTAAAGATTGGTTCTTCTATTTACCCCTTGGTTCTATAACTACTTGGGCTGAGATGGTGAGGATGTTTCTTGATAAGCTTTTTCCTGCTTCAAGAGCCGCTGGTAATCGAAGGGAGATATATGGAATAAAACAAAATGATACTGAGACCCTTCACGAGTATTGGGAACGATTCAAACGACTGTGTGCCAGGTGCCCTCAACATGGGATTTCTGAGCAACTTCTCATCCAATATTTCTATGAAGGACTTCTACCCATGGAGAGGAAGATGATGGATGCAACTAGTGGAGGCTCCATAGTGAATAAGACTCCTCGCGATGCTAGGGAATTGATCTCCATCATGGCCGCTAATTCACAACAATTTGGCTTTAGGCTAGACACATCTTCAAGAAGAGTGAATGAGGTAGGTTCATCTTCCATTGAACATCAATTATCGCATCTCACCTCCCTTGTTCAACAACTAGTTGTAGGAAAAACGCAATAAGTGAAAGCTTGTGGGATATGTGCTGCAATCGGTCACCCAACTGACATGTGCCATACACTTCAAGATTATTCTCATGAGTACGCCAATGCAGTTGGAAGGTTTCCCGATCCTCCACAAAGGAAATATGATCCTTACTTAAATACCTATAATCCAGGATGGAGGGATCATCCTAACCTTAGCTATGGACCAAGACCATCGCAATTCCAGTGTTTTCCACATGAGCAGTCTTCTTCAAAGCCAAGTATGTCTCTAGAAGAAATTGTCAAATCATTTGCAACTAATACACAACAATTTCAGCAAGAGACAAGAACAAGCATACAAAATTTGGAGAATCAAATGAGTCAATTGGCATCCTCCATGAGTCGGTTAGAATCCCAAGGTAAGTTACCTTCACAAACCATTGTTAATCCAAAGGAGTTGAAGGAACCTAGTCCATTGGCACATGGGAGAGCCTTAGAGGAAGAAATTGAAAAGGAAGTTGTTGCTCCTCAGACTCAGAAAGACCAACCTAAAGGACTCAAAAGCAAAAAACCGAAGGAATTTTTCATAGAACATCATTTTCCCTCTAGATTCGCTAAGTACATAAATGAAGTAGAAGAGAAAGAAATTTTTGAGACATTTCGCAAGATTGAGGTAAATATTCTTTTACTTGATGCAATTGAACAAGTACCTCGATATGCTAAAGTTCTTAAAGAATTGTGCATCAACAAGAGAAAGCTCAAGGGTAATGAAAAGGTAAGTATGGGGGAGAATGTTTCAGCTGTCCTCCAGAAAAAACTACCCTCAAGTGCAAAGATCAAGTATGTTTACTATCCCTTGTAAACTCGATAATGTTAGGATTGAGAGAGCAATGTTAGATCTAGAAGCCTCAATAAATATCATGTCTCTTTCTATTTACTCATCTCTGAATGTTGGTCATTTGAAAGAAACAGGAGTGCTTATTCAACTTGCTGATAGATCTAATGTATATCGTGAGGGAGTTTTAGAGGATGTTTTGATGCAAGTTAATGAATTGGTTTTTCTTGCAGATTTTTATGTGCTTGATATGCAAGAAGATGATTCTTCTAAATCAACATCAATTTTGTAAAGAAGGTCATTTTTGAAAACAGTTAGGATAAAAATTGATGTAAATGATGGTACACTTACCATGGAATTTGATGGTGAAATGATTAAATTCAATATTTATGATGTCGTGAGATGTCCTAGTGATGTGTCATCTGTTTTTGTCATGGATGTTATTGACCCTTTAGCACAGGAAACTTTTGATCAAAATGATGATGACAAGTTGAAAGATACACTCAACATGAATTTCACTTCTAAAGGATTGCAGGGAATCATGAAAGAGTGTGTTGGATCCTGATTTGCAAGATACAATCCAGGAACTAGAATCACTCAAACCCATGAGGTATGATATATCTTATATTGAGTCACCTCTTTCTCACACCAAGCTTCTTTATTCTCTTGTGCATGGACCAAAATTGGAAACGAAACCTTTGCCAAATCATCTGAAGCATGTATATTTAGGAGAAGATGAAAATATTTCGATGATCATTCCCAACAAACTCTCTCGCTTAGAAGAAGAAAAGTTGATTCGAATGCTTAGAGGGTACAAGGAAGCTATTGGGTGGAGGAAAAATTTCTCTATCGATGAAATACAAAGTTTGGATACATGTCAAATATTTAAGGTCAATGATCATCGTTTGAAACCTTTTTATGAAGGTTCTCAGGTGCATACCGTTGGTCAAACCATTTTGGAGTACCCAACGTAGGATGATTGAGAAGCTACAACGTCTAGCCAAAGACGTTAAAGAAAGATGCTCTTGGGAGGCAACCCAATTTCTCCTTTTTCAATTTCTATTTTCGTTCTTTTTATTTTTATTTTATTTTTATTTTTATTTTTTTCTTGATTTTTCGGAGTACAATTAATCTCGTTTTCCTCTTTAGGTCAGAGGATGAATTTTTGTAACTCGTGGAAACGCCTTACAAAAGCAGAATTATTCCTAAAGTCTCTCACTATCCAGAAGATGTTTTTGTATAAGACGTACCCACGTTTAAACTCAATACCACTTCTGGTTCAAGAAACAAGATTCAAAGAAACTTTTTAAATATAAATGTGCCTTATCTTTTCTTTATTTTCTGTGCTCCTTCAGAAGAATGAACACCATCAGCCGTCCTCTCCGCTCCACCCGACCCACGTCTCCGCTCAGACCGAGAATCAACCCAGCCGATGCACAGCGCCTTCACCCCCCATCTCGTGAAATATATTGTGGTTGATGCTCAACATTTTCAGGGGAGTTTTCTACTCTTATTCTTTTATGGTTTTTGAGCATCTACCTTTGATACATTGAGGACAATGTATGAATTAAGTGTGGGGGAGAGTATTTCATATATGGTTTTGCTTTGAACATAATTTTGCTTCAATTTTTTATTGAAAAAAAAACAAGTATGCTTTATTTCTTTTTTTTTATTTTTCTCTTCGAAATTCTAGATTCTTTCGATGTTTATCCTTACATGATTTGGATTGTTTTGAATTATCGAATTAAGTTGAAGCATAATAGGAGATTAACTTGAGTAGTTGAATTCTTATTTGCTACACACTAGTTTATTACTCTTGATGACTGATTGAATGAAAAATGTGTGAGATTTGATACATGTTTACCCTTTTGGCTAGTTTTTGGGCCAATGAGCACTCATTTTCAGCATGCTCTATTTCTTGATTAAGTGATTGACATACATAGTTGATTTTTCTAGAACTTGCTTTGCTATACATGTCGAAGATCACATTTTAGAATTGGATGCATCAAGAACGATAAGGGCATTAGGTAAAACCACTTTTATCTTTCGTAAAGAGCCTACCCTGATTATCATCCTTAGAAAGCTAATTTTGAGCTTGAGCTTTTATGTTTGAAATTAACCAGGATACAAGCAAATATCAAATATTTTTTGTTAATTTCCCCTCTTTTGAACCTTGAATTGGAGGATTGTATGAGCTTCTTCACATGAGAATTCAATTTATCTTGAGAAGATCGGAAGATGTTGGAATATAGTGATTCGAGTTGCAATCTCTTTCATTGGAAAAAAAATAAAAGAAAAAAAGAAGCAAAATTGTGCAAACGAAATGAAGAAAGAGAGATTGTGCAATGAAAAAAAGAAGTTATGTGGCTTGAAGAGAACATTTGAGATTGAGTTCCATGTGGATAAGTTTGTATGATAAAACAACTCAAATTCATTCCCTACCAAACCTCACCTAAGCCCCATTACAATCTGTTTAAGACCCTGAGGTTTTTATGCATTCAATTCATTGATTAGTGGTGGGGATGTGATAGGTTAGCAAGCCTATGGTAAAAATGTTTATATGCTTTGGCTTGAGAGTTTATTGATACCCTAAACACTTCGAGCGTATTGAGTGAATCCAATGTGAGGGTATTAGATCCCACTGCATTTTGACTTCGAAAAGATTGATGGAGTGATTATTCATGTGTGTTGGTTTATGAGAATTTCTTCTACGAATTGATTGTTCCTTACTTGTGTCTAGATTTGAGTCTTTAAGGCATGACGATTTTGATTGTGGAGGGATGAGCAAAGGAAGAAGAAGGATTGACGTCGAGAAGAGTTATGAATTTGAACTATTGTATGCTTGAGGACAAGCATTGGTTCAAGTGTGGGGGGAATTTGATAAGATTCATATTAGACATATATTCTATGATATTTTCCTCATATTTGAATAACTAAAATTGCTTAAATCATGGATTTTGATTATATTTCGTATTTTGTGGATTAGGTTGAAGATTTGGATAAAAACAAGTTCAAAATCTAATGATTAGCATGATCTTCACAAAATCCCCAAATTAAGGAAGAAAAATCGGAATTCAAGAAGTTGGCAAGACCAGAAAAGGTTTTCGCATAAGACGTGGGCACGGCTTATTCACCCTGAGCTATCGCAGAAGAAGTCTTCAGTTAAGGCGTGGGCGCGCCTTACTGGTCCGTATAACCCTAAATTAGAGTTACAAATTTACAAAGGAAAAAGAGTTTAATGACGACTGAAAGACTTTTGAATTATTCTTATCTTTAGAAAAGGATGAGGGTATTTAAAACTCCTATTTTTGTGAGATTTTCTTCAAGGGAAACTTCCTTATCTAGAGTAGGAAAATCCTTATAAAAGGGGAGCTAGGGCATTAGTTTTACATCAAGTTTTCATTAAGTTTTCTTTAAGTTTTTCTTTTGGTGTTCTTTCAATTATGAGTGGCTAAATACTTTTGTTCTCAAGTCTAAGGATCATACATATAGTCATCACCATGAGTAATGTTACGACCGTTATATAATAATCCAAGACATATGATCATGATGGGTCATTCCAATACATTATTCTCTAACAATATAATTATGTATCAATTCTGACATCTTTATGTCAATGACAACTCCTTGTCATCAATCAATACCATGTTAGTCTTAAGCATATTATTATTGTCCATGCCCATAATAATACTTAACTATGGATCTTTTAATAATGTTATTATATGGATTTTATTATCTTTCAGTTTATGTTAAACACAGACACATAACTGAAAATAATAGTGGCAATGCCTTTATTCAATAAAATCGGTAAATAAATATATTATTACAATCATCATATGATTGGTCTTTGGGCATACTCTAACATGTCATACATCATAATCCCTGCATTTGCAAGGGCAAGACTAGCACATGATATCACCACAGGAAGATCACCTGTAACCAATGTTATGAAGCTTATCAACAAATGGAAATATAAGAGTTTAGGGCATATCCATAGCCAATAAGAATTTTCATTGATAAAGGATTTTTTTGACACTCTACGATCATCTACAGCATTGTGAAGTACTTGTTTACTAAAACAAACATTATGTGAGACACTAGTTGTAAGAAAATGAGAACCAACTTTATGAGAGATGCCATAAGAAGTATCAACAGAAAAGACAGGTTATGGAATAAACAACAACAGGCCAATTTCAAGCCTAATTACTAAGGGTTTATGAGAAGACTTACTGCCCCCAGACTCCAACACCAATGCAAAAATATCCACGGTGGTTTTGGGGAATGTTTCCAACATTATTGCACCTTCCAAAGCTTTATGAAGCATTGATGAAAACTCTTTGTGATCCGATCCCTAAGGAAAGGGAGATCAAGGAATAGAATTTACTAAATTGAAGAAAAGAATTAAAAGAGAGACAAAGAGACTTAATCAAATATAATACATATATGCCGCACCAGAAAAGATTCACACTTCTAATCATCTCACATACCTGCCCTCGAACTGGAGTGGCAAATGTTGTATAGCTGACACTACAATTTAACCTCCCAGTATCTCTGTACATCATTGTTTTCTTACTCTTGGCCCAAAACTAAATAGTTCAATACAAATAACAGATGAACATGTAGAGTAATCACAGAAAATATCAGTATTTGGAAGAAAATTCTGCCAAAGAAAGCAAAGGGTTATAAAATCCCAAAAAATAGTACGAAGAAGAATAAGGAAATTTTCACACAGATGATACACAGATACGATGACCTTGGTATTCCCAAGCTCTGCATAAGCAGATCCAGAAGCAAGTTTACTGCACCTGTTCTGAAAACTAAAGATCACCAACATTTGAGGACTCATTTCAACTCAGCACAGGAGAATCCAAGAAAAATCCATTTACAAGAGATATGAATAATGATCCATAGTTTTTTTATAAGAATCCGTCTTTCTAAGGTTTTAGATGCCTAAAAACTAACAAGAAAATCCATTATCGTGGTAGTAACAGGTAAGATGATCCCACAACATGACAACTATACCACTATGGATTTCTCATGCTCCTTTTTAAGCATGAGCATGCAAATCATATATAAAAATAAGAAGTCAGAAGAACCAAAGATTTATAACATTCTGGTACATGTAGTAACAAATTGGAAGCAGCAAAATCACTTAACTACTCATCGAAATGACCTAGAGAGCAATGGAGAACACCAGACGATTGAAAAATAGAGAGATAGAAGATATATTTTTTCTTTCAAATGGCGTTCTTGGTAGAAAAGATGAAATTTTTTTAGAGAAAAAGTAACTTCCTTTCATTCATTGCTTGGTAGAGTTGAAAAATTAGAAGAAAGAAGCATGATATTGAACTAACTTACATCTCTCGATCTCTCATTTTCTTTTGTCATTCCAGTTTGGAATTATTTGTTTTTATGCATTAGGGTGGAAAACGGACATCTCTTATTTTCTTTCCTCTCACTTTCTTTAATACCAGACATGCTCAAAATTACTTTTCTTTATGCTTTTCAACCGCTCTTTCCTTCTTTCAACTTTTCCACTCAACCAAGCGCTTAAACATTCAAATTTTATATGAAAATAAGGGGTCATATAAACCAAAGATATAACATTCTGGCACATGTAAAAACAAATCACGAAGGCACAAAATCACTTAACTACTCATTAAAATTACCCTATTCTAGAGAGCAATGGAGAACACCAAACCATTTCTATAACCAGGTAATGAATAACACTGACATACAGCGCAAAAGAAAAGGAAACTACTTTTTCTTTTTCTTAAGGATGGTGACCAAAGAATCAATAGACAGCTCACTAATATCTAAAAGACATCAAAGTTTTCAACTTTATTTGCAATATAAAAAGTAAAATTAAAACCAAATTAGCAATGACCACGATAATGTTAAAAGGAAAATAAAATAAAATGAAGAAGAAGATTTAAATGATGGTCGGCAATGGTGGAAGCCGCGGCCATCAGAGCGGACCCAATCAAGATCATTGGCTTTGAAAATAGGTGGGCGAGTTTTTTGGCCAATAGTCGGCGAATACGTTGTCGGAGCTGAACCGGGCTTTGCAGCCATGCTTTTTCTTCTTGTTTTTCTCCTCTATTTACTATTTTCGTTTCAGTCGCTGCTCTGCTTCAAACTTCCAAGTTGTTCCAGGTTTTATTGTTGCGTCTCTGCCAGGTCAAGACGATGCGTTTTGAAGGGGAGAAAAAAATAATAATAGAAGGCTAATATAAAATATAATACAAATTAAGCTTAAACTACTTACATTTTGTTCAAGTAAATTCTTATGATTTATTTTTATAATTAAATAAATCTTTCTTGAAAAACCCAAATACTGATTTAGAAACAATGTGCTTCATTTCTATTTTTATATATTAAAGTATTTTCAAGTAATTGTAATTTATAAACTACTTATATCTCTTTATATCCATAAACCGAAAAAAAAATATTTTCATGTATGTATAATAACATCAAAATCAATTGAATTAAAACTTAATTACTATTTTTAATCATTTTATTATAAGTTTTAAATAAATCTTTTATAATTAATAAAATATTTTTTATGTGTTTTTGTCCAAATTAAAAAAATACAATTTCATTCAATCACATTAATAATGGACCTTAATAATATTTAATCTGAATTTATCGATTAATATATCGAAAATTGATAGTTAAATAAAAAATAAGGGTTTTATGAATAAAAATCAAATAATAGAGCATATTTAATTAAAAGAAAGCGTTAGTGTTTATTTGAACAAAGTACATTAATTTAAGGGCTATTTCAATATATTAGCCGGAGTAAAACGTTGTCGTTAAATGGATATTATCATAGGCAGAAGACTTCATTAGGCTCGATTTGGATTGAATAATGGAAGATAGAATTAGAAAATTATATCACTCAAGGCATAATTTAGAGAAAGCTAGAAAATTATTACATTTTGCAACTCCAAAAGAATGACAAACAGTGTAGGAGGTGGCCCTGGTTCAAACAGTGGAGGGCAGCAGCTTCTGAATATACCACAGCAACATAGAAACAACCAACTGCAAACACATAGGGAGCCAGCAGCCATTGAAATGTCAGAAAAAAGGTACCCTCTTTGTCTCTTCATGCACAAGTAAAATGCAATAACTATGGGGATAACATCTTACCATGATTCCCAAAACCCTCGTCCCGGAGGCGCCGTAGTTAGCAGCAGTGTAGTAGGCGATGGAGTCGGAGGTGGATCCATTGTTAGCTCTGGAATGTTGACTGTGCAGATAAGACCTTGGAAATTTCTGTGAGTTTATTCTGTATGTTGATGAACTTTACCCTCCTTTCTCAGAGTCACGTGACAACTACCATTCAAAGAGAGATTCAAGTCTCGGCAAAAAGTAGACATCTAACTAACGTATGGACATTGTACCAATCTTTGATGCCAACTCATCTGGTTAAAGTTCAAATGAGGAGAAACGTGAGAAACTATATCTAATACAACCAGTATTTGGCCTATTCTAAATAAATTATCCAAATGAATAAAATACCAAATAAATATTTTCTCAAAAAGGTATGTGCTCCTCTGTCTCATATAAAGCTTGAATTACGCTTTGATGTCTTTCTGCAGGAGCTTCATTCTTCATGTTAAGGGCAGATGACATCTGCAGGGTGAACAAAAAAGTGGTGATCTTATTGGATTCATTTAAAAAGTAGGCAGACATGGCGGCCCTCACATTGTTCAATGGTAATAATCATAGAGAAAAGGCAAACAATTCGCATGGTAGCAACTTCTAAACGGATTTCAAAGCATTACCTGGAGAAAATTTACATGAATATTTCTTGTTTTAGATTTATCCGGAGCAATAGTTAAGACAGGATTTGAACAACCTCACTCATTGAGCATCAGGGTCCAACAGCAAGCACTCCTTTGCTAGGTAAGTCATTACCTACATCTCACAAGTGTCTATCTACAGTCCCGGAGAAAGCAACACCAAAGCAAAAGAAAATAATGAAAAGGCCTCCATCTCACAAGTGTCCAACTCCGACTAGAAAAAAAAATACATATTTAAGGTCTACAGACACCTACCAAGCTGGAAATTACTTAATTATGATTCGTTTCCAGAACTTCCAAACCATACAATCAAAATGATAATTGAATCCACATTGGGAAAATCAACTTGATTATAAAAAAATGGGTTTAGAGAAAATGAATCAGCAAATACAAGAGAAAAAAATAGAATAGAAGCTTCGATGTTGGAGTTCAAACCAGGGAATCGAAACAGAACAAATCCATCCACCACCTCTGTGAACACAATCCATTTGAATGCATGAAAATGACTTGCAACCATTTCAGTCTTCAGGTTCAGGATAAAAAAGACTGGTACTCTCGTAATTTTTTAGCTTTGTTGGAATGGTGATTTACAAAGAAAAGGTATTCTGGAAACTTGCTTTGTATTACTGAATCACATCCAATTTATATAAATTGTAAGTGCAGCTATAGCTAACAGTTTCACTAACAGCTTTATAAACAGATTGCTAACTAACTAACAACTGATCCATCCAGCTAATGCCACGTGTATGGTATAGTTACAATTGGTTATAGCCAGCTATGTGTTCATATTCGATGATTTGCTTCTGCTGGACTGCCAACATTCTCCCTACTTCTTCTCATCTTCTTTGTTAAAAAACACGAACACATACTTTGGACCGGAATTCTTCAAAGGCAGCTCGAGCAAGCGACTTGGTGAATCCATCAGCAGTTTGGTGCATTGCAGGAACATAGCTTACACACAGCTGGCCAGCTTCTACTTTCTCATGAACGAAATGAATGTCCAGGTCCACATGCTTGGACTGAGCATGATAGACAAGTTAGCGCTCAAGGCCACTGCATTGGTGTTATCGCACCAGACAACCGGTTCACGACCCTACTGGATGCCGAGATCAGTTACGAGCGCATTTATCCATGCTATATCGGCTGTTGCATCCGCCACACTTTTGTACTCAGCTTCCATAGTGGATTGGGAGACTGTTCGTTGTTTCTTAGAGCACCAGGTAACCAAACATTTACCTAAGAAGACTCCATACCCGGTTATAGACCTTCGATCATCGATGCTGGCTCCCCAATCCGCATTAGCAAAGGCAACCACATTCACTCCACTGTCAACAGGTGAAAATAACAAGCCAAAGTTTAGCATTGCACCTAGGTATCGAAGTATCCTTTTTATAGCAACATAATGAGCTTCTCGTGGAGCATGCATAAACTGGGCAACTTGAGCCACACTAAACGATATGTCTGGTCGTGTATGACAGACATATAACAGTGATCCCAAAATACTTCTATAGTCACTAGCATTGCTTAGAAGATCACCTGATTTATGAGAAAGTTTAGGCGATACCACCGTAGGTGTGGCACATCCAGTAGCTGTCGACATCCCTGTTTTTTCTAACAGTTCGAGCACATACTTCTTCTGGCTCAAGAAAAGTGAACCATTGTTATGTTTGACTTCAATGCCCAGGAAGAAGCTCAACTCTCCCAGGTCCTTGAGTGAAAAACGTTCTTGTAGCATGGACACTGCTTCTTGAATTAAGTTAGATGACTGACCAGTGACAACTATGCCATCTACATACACCAATATATAAACGTATCCTCTATGAGAATTCTTTACAAACAACGATGGGTCAGCTCAAGATACTGTGAATTCCATTTACAGTAGGTTATCTTTGAGTTTCTCATGCCAATTGCGAAGAGCTTGTCAAAGACCGTATAATGCCTTTTGAAGTTTGTAAACAAGGGGCTTTCCATCCTCATCAAATTGTTCGAAACCAGGAGGTTGACGGATATAAACATCCTCACTAAGATCTCCATTAAGAAACACATTGTTTACATTAACGTGTCGAAGCTCCCATCCTCTGGAAACAACAACTGCTAGGACTATATTAAACATTGGGAATCGAACTACTGGGCTGAATGTGTCTCGAAAATCATACCCAGGAGTCTGAGAGAACCCCTTAACAACCAGTCAAGCCTTATATCTAAGAACAGTCCCATATGGATTTCGTTTAATGCGAAAAATCCATTTTCATCCGACTGCAGTTCTACCTTCTCGTAGTGTAACTAGTGACCAAGTACCATTCTTTAGCAATACATTATACTCTTCATGCACTGCAACAGTCCAATGAGGAGATCGAAATGCTATTGTTATCGTAGTAGGGATATCATCATCCTCAGTAGCCAAGAAAACTTTGGGCTTAAAGATGCCACAGCTGCTACGCGTCATCATGGGATGAATTCGTGATGAAGGTCCAACAATATTTAATTTTGTAGCATCATTGGGGTTGACGCTAATAGTAGCAGGCTCACCAATGCTACTGCCAGGATTCAATTGAGACTTAGTACTACCAGACTCAGTAACATCATCCGTGTGTCCATGAACACTATGATCACGATCAGAGGCAGCAATCGTATCATTGGATTCAGTGGATTCAACACTTCCCGATACAAAATTGTTTGGAGCATCTTCAGACCCGCTGTTCATAGTAGTTTGTATTACATTGTCTTGAGTATCATGTGAGTGTTGAATCCTTGTACCCCTTAAATCTACAACTACTCGAAGAGGTTGGGATGAACGAGTGCCTGAGCTTGTAGGTACATAGGAGTTGCAATTTTCTCGGCCTACAAAAGGAAATATAGATTCATTAAACACAACGTGTCTGGAAACATAAACTCTTCCATCAGACGCCAAACACTGGAATCCTTTGTGTCGAGGACTGATTCCCAGGTAGGTGCAGGATTGAGATCTGAATGAGAGTTTGTGCTTTTGAAACTGTCTAAGATGAGGGAAGCATTGACAACCGAAGACTCTCATCATGGAGTAGTCTGGTTTCTTTTTATACAGTTTCTCAAAAGGGGATATTCCATGTAGAACTTTAGTAGGGAGTCTATTGATTAAATAAACTGCTGAAACAACAACATAGAACCAGTATTTTACTGGCAGTGATGCCTGGGCTAACAAAACTAGTGCTAGTTCTATGACATGTCGATGCTCCTTTCAACGACCCCGTTTTTCTCGGAGGTGTGAGGACATGTCAAGCGATTTAAGATTCCTTCACTGGCCAATACTCGTGAGAGAAATCGAAATTCACCTCCCCAGTCAGTTTGTAGAGCTTTGATTGAAGTACCAAACTGATTTGCTACAATCTTTTGAAATATTCGAAAAGCCAACACTGCTTCATCCTTACTCTTTAACAAATAAATCCAAGTGTACCTTGTGAACGCATCTACAAATGAAACATAAAAACGAAAGCCATTTGATTTCTTATGAGGATGTCCCCATAAATCCGAGTATACAAGATCAAAAAGAGTAGTGATTGATGTATTTGAATCAACAAAGGGTAGCCTATGGCCTTTTCCCATATGACAAGCTACACAATGCTTATTTACATTGGAATGCACCTTGATGCCTATTTCATTAGCTAGTTTGACTAACGTTTCAGCTGCTGGGTGACTAAGGCACCTATTCCAGAGGTCTTCTATCGAGGAGGAAGTGGAGTAGCTATTAACTTCTGCGAGATTGACTCCTAACGAACTGATGTCCATACTGAACGAGTATAAGCCTTCATGTTGTTATTCTTGAAGTAGAATGTCACCGGTTACTTCATCACGCACACAACAACTTTTTGCATGAAATTCTAAAAACACGTTGTTGTCTCTAACAAGCTTAGAAACAGAGATTAAGTTCTTAGTTATTTGTGGAACATGCAGCAAATATTTGAGAAACAACATGCGTGAGGAGGTATTTATATGAGAGTGACCAACTAGGTTTACATCAAGTGGCATACCATTTCCAACTAGAAGTTTACCTGGACAAAGAAATTCTGATGGGCTTAAGACATTATTGGTGTCTGAGGTCACGTGGTGTGTGGCACCGGTATCTACAACCCAACGATCAGTGGACATGGAGGAAGTATTCGCTTGTGGTTGAATAGCCATAGATGAGCCAGACTTACGTTTGGCACAATATTCACATCCAATATCAGAGTATAAGTTGTATGTTGAAGAAGCTGTTCGACGATCTGACTGATTGGATTCATGATTTGTTGCAGTTACACATGAAAAATCTTAATCAAACCTGTGCCAACATCGATCTACGAGATGGCCTATTTTTCCATAGAGTTGGCATTGCACTCTTGATCTACCACGACCTCTACCACCAGTTCGAGCTCCAGACCTTGAATCATAACCTGAGTTTGAACTTGCTGAGTTGCAAATTTCCCCTTGAGCAACATTGACACTCATTGGTAAAGCCTCCAATTGATCTTCAAAACTGGCAAGCTGTGTCTCTGCATCAAGAAGCATGGTATAGATGCTATCCAAGGACAAGGACTCTCTCATTGAGGTTATAAGTGCCATGAAAGGTTGATATTCCCGTGGAAGACCTTTGAGGATGCTTGCAATGTGCTCGACTTGAGGTATAACACTGCCACAAGAGGCTAAGGCATCACAAACCTCCTTTACTCGAGTAAGGTATATACGCATAGAGTCACCTCCTTTTTTTAACGAATGAAGTTTATAGTGGAGACTCATTACAGCCGTAGTGAAGCGATTGGCGAAGAACTAAAGAACAATGTTCCACACAGCCATCGCAGTTTCAGCTCCAACAAACTGAGGAAGAAGATGATTGCTGATCGTGGATAGTAACCAGGAGGCAAGAGCACTATCTTGTGCTATAAATTCTTCTTAGGCTTCATTGACTCGTGTTATACCATCATAATCAACAATTGTTTCAGGTGGAGTTGCCACAGCACCGGTGAGGAATCGTTTTAAGCAATGACTCCGAATTGTGAGCAGAATCTGTTGCTTCCAAAAGAGAAAGTTCATCTCATCAAGATTAATATTTACTTTCTTGTGAGTGAACGATTTTGCATTGGCAGGAAACTCCATTGAGAGGAAACTTCAAGCAGTGAAGAGAAAGATCCCAAGATCTATGGCGAGAGATACCATGTTGGAATGGTGATTTACAAAGAAAAGGTATTCTGGAAACTTGCTTTGTATTACTGAATCACATCCAATTTATATACATTGTAAGTGCAGCTATAGCTAACAGTTTCACTAACAGCTTTACAAACAGATTGCTAACTAACTAACTAACTAACTAACTAACTAACTAACAACTGATCCATTCAGCTAATGCCACGTGTATGGTACAATTACAATCGGTTATAGCCAGCTTTGTGTTCATATTCGATGATTTGCTTCCGCTGGACTGCCAACAAGCTTTGCCAAGTTTTTCCAACGGGGAAGAACATGGCTTAGCTTCGAACTTGGAAGACATGTACTGATGCTACCTGTATATGTTTGTTGGGGACTCCCAAAGCACGTTTGTATGTAGAGTTAAAACTTCAACGTTGTTAGAGATCCTGCTTTTTGTGGAGTGTGTTGCTTCATTTGTGGGGGCTTATGAACCGTTGGATCAAAGAATAATGTCAATCATTATCATCACGTGGTTTTTAAAAAAGAGAGGATTTATGGGTAATCTAAATGTCATTAAAAACTGTATTTACTAAAAATAATCAAAATCTAAAAAGTCTAAATAAATCCTTCAGCCAATGCAAAAATAACACACTTTGGGAATACCCTTTTGATTAGTGTTTAAATTATACATTATTCTATGATTAATTACTCTTTGATTAGATAATTTTAGTTGCTAACTTGGCATTTTCATTCATTTTCGATTCAAAACATTAAATTCTAGAAATTATGCTAAGAACAACAAAATCGTGCAATTTTTTATTTTTCTAGATTCATGGTCGGATTAGTGGGCATGAAGCATTTGTCGAGGCGATGAGTCAGCACCTTCCAAAAGGTACAGTTAGCACTTCTAGAATGACGAATGAGTCTTCCGCGTTTTTGAAATTCGAATTCAAGTTGAATTCATGTTTTTAGGATTTTAGTTTAAATATTTTAAGAAATATCTTTAGAAATTATCTCTTGTTTTTAGGAATTATTTTTTCTTAGTTTTTAGGATTTTAGAAGGCTATAAATACCCCTTGGGGTAAGCCTAACGGAATCATCATTTCTTTAGTTTAATAAAAATTCTTTTATTTTGTTTTTGTTTTCTTTAATTTTCTTTTAAGCTGAGTGCTAAAACGATGATTCAATTTTAACGTGAGAATTGAAAAACACTTGAATAACTTCGAAAAATCTCTTTCAATCTCTGCGTTTATTTTCAAAATCAAAACAATTTTCAAAATCAAAGATTGACTTTGGTCAAGATGTTGTTGCGATTAAATGTGTGGGAGGAATGATCGGCTTATTGAAAGCATATTTGACTTCTTGGGAACACACTTGGCAAGATTGTCTTGTTAAGAGGGAATTGAGATCGGAATTAGTAGTTATTGCAACAACAATCCGAGTCAGTCTTCACGAACTTAAACGATTATTGATCTATCAGATCAATTTTCGAAGTCGAAGTCAAAGATTGTCTTGGGTATTCGGTATACAAAGAAGAGTCACGATGATTGCCCTTGTAGACAAAGTAACCGACGTGAATCCCGAAGGGAAAATCTAATTCAATGATCCGAAGAAAATTGAGTCAAAGCGAAAGCCTATGGTTGATTTTACCATATTGATTTTTTTTTTAAATTTCTTTTTAATCTTCTTTGAAATATTTTTATTTTTATTTCTTCTATTTTATTTCTCTTCATCTATAAATCTCCACCATTACTCAAATTCTACTCCACCCACTTCTTGACTCAAAGATTAAACAAACCACGGATAAATCAAGAAGTTTTCTTAGTTTCTGTGGGATCGACTCTTACTTTTCCTTTACTACGTTAATTTTCCTTTATTTATTAATTGAGGAGAATAAATTATTTTGATGTGAAAAAATACGTGTGCCACCTTTATATTAATTAAAACACACTTGATATTTTGTTCAAGATCGTAATCAAATTAGTTTTAATGAAAACTCAATTTCGTTTTGAAACTTTGCATGTAAAGGTCAAATTAGTTGATCATGTCGGGTATCTCAAATAATGTATTAAAGTTGTGAAAAGTAATCAAAACAGATATACCGTACCATATATTTAAGTGAAGAAATCACCCCAAGTATCTCACAATTACATGGCTATACCTTGTTTTCAGGGGAAAAAAACGATACCATTGCTCCCTATGTACAATGCTGTCAATGTAAACAACTAAACTCCCAGGTTCTCGTTTTTCGCCCCTCCATTGATCTCCCAATCTCAAACCAGTCATTTCAACTGTCCATAATTTTCTTTATTACTTCACATATCAGAACAAGAAAATATACCCACCATTTAAAAAGACACCGAGCCTCGTTCCTATTATCCCAGTTTATACCCCTTGCTTTCCCCAAACAAATGACTACCTTGGCCACGGACGTGCTGGGAATGACTGCTTTTCGGAACTTTCATTGCGGAGGGCTCCCAAAGAACATGGTTTGAGAACGAGTCACCATGTCTGTCATGGTAGGGGTCTGGTAAGCTTGAACACGGCTTGTACTATCGGTGGAATCGCCACGTGCCGTTGCTCTCTGCCAGGAATGTGAGCTCAAACTTGACAAAACGTAAGCCCTTCCAGAAGACTCGTACACATTACGGTTTGCCATTCTTTCTTGCATCTCCTTTAGCTCAGCACACAGTACAACACATAACCGGTCACCAGTCCGTGCAGAAATGGTTTCAGATAAAACCCTGCGACAAATCTCAAGCAGAGAGACTGCACCAGTTAGATCACCATGTTCAGCAGCCACTCTTGCCTGGGCCATAGCCTCTGCGGCACGGAACCTGTTTCGCTGCCTGTCTACCTCCATTGACACTATTGGTTGTCCTACTACTGTTGCCCTCTGGATCTTTACTTCATTGTTATCTTCCAATGACATCATTTCTTTTGATATGGGGTCTCTGTAATTACATTTAACCTTCAGCAATGACATCTCATCACCGGATTCATCAACTGGAACATTGACTGTCACCAAAAAATCTCTTTCTTCATCGGCATACAAGTCTCCTACATCAATAGAACCTGCTTTTGCATCAGCTATCACGCTGGTATGGTAACTCCCAGCCTTTATCGAATTAATTAGTACATTTGGGTGAGCACACTCAAGTTTAACACATGCCTCCTGCACTACCACACTTAAAAGCCCTCCAATGCATTGAGCAAAAGCATCTTGGATCACACCCTCAGCTTCTATGAAAGAAAATGTACCCCCAGATATCTCAGAAATGGAATGCATTGATGCAGCATCATGATCTGCACCAAACCCAAAGGCATGGACAGGGATACGGAGACCTGTCCCACCATTGCGCTGAATCGAGAGAGGAAGAAGTGATTTATAATCGATTCGGGAATGTTCCCCGCTAGGACTTGTTACAGTATAAGTGTCTTGCCCATCTGATAACAGTATGATGCTTCCAACCGGATTTTTCCACTTCCGATCTACTATCAACTTTGCACCTTTCCTAAGCCCTTCAGCAATATTTGTCCCACCATTTGAAATAAGGGAGTTAACAGCCTGCAACGCTTCCTGCCGTCCAGTCTCAGTCATCCGGCGGAGAGGGAAGAGGCGACGGGCTGTCGAAGAGAAAGCAATTACGGAAAGCCGGTCAGAGGGCCCAAGATGCTGTATGACAAACCCCATAGCTCGTTTTAGCAATGCAATCTTGGTACCGGCCATGCTGCCACTAACATCAAGAACAGTGACAAGGTCAACCGGCGCACGAGAACTTGTACAGGGAGCCTTGAGATGGATTAATATGGCAAAATTATTATGACCGTTAGCTCTTGGAACGGCTGAAACTTCAGGATATGTCTTAACGTCTATTGCTCCAAAAGAATTTTTCTTGGAAGCATCCTTGTCAATGGCACTCAGTTCAAGATTCTCTTGCTGCTGATCGAGGGCTTCGTCATCATCAAAGGTTCCTGGTTCAGTGGCATGAAATAGTGAAGAACTGTGCCTAGTTGAATCTAACCGAGGGAAGGGTAGGCGTCGTACAGAAGTAGTCCAGGTATCATCCCGGGGCCAATCTGCTGGATTGATTCTAGATCTTCCATCGGGAACATTTGAAGCAGGGCCCTGGAAGGGGATTTCCTTCCATTTTGCTCTGCAAACAGGACAAATCTGATTTCCATGTTCTACATTAGAAGCTATACATTGAAAGTGGAAAGAATGGGAGCATTCTGCTGTGAAAATGGCATGGCCTTGACCCAGTTTCAATGATGCCAGGCATATTGAACAGGTTCTCTGCATATTCAAAGGGCAAGCAGGTAAGAAAATAATACAAGCAGGTCTAATTGAAAGATTTAAAGCACTTGTTATGTCAAAATGACATATAAACTTAAAACATACACGCATCAAAAACTGATCCTATAGAAAACAATTTGCTTGAAGAAGCTCAAAATGGTCAAACAAATCGGGAGGGAATGTCCTCATTCTTTATAACATCCAATCACATAAAATACAATTACAACAGAGAAATTAGTGCTTCCTCTTTGGATAAATTGTAGGAGCATCAAGCAATATATTGGACAATCAAATATCTCATGTGTTAATACCAAGCTGGGATTACAAGAACATTTCCCAAGATAGAACCTTACATGATACATAGTCCTCATTAACAAAGTTCTCATCCCCATAAGAGCCATAGAATAAAAAAAATACAGAAGGGAGCAAGTGGCAGTTCAAGGGCATCAAATCCTTATCTAACTCAATTCAAACCTAACATCTAAAGATTATTTGTAAATTGAATAATGTAGTTTGGAAGTATGTGAATTTTTCAAAGTATATAGAGCCCCTATAATTAAGAGTGGTGTATGAAAAGAAGAAATAAAATGCAACCTATCTACATGATAAACCCATATATAGGGGGTTAATTTTAACTGCAGTGAAATTTCAAAGAAACTAAAGCTAAATAAGCCATAAATGTTAGGTCAATGGTAAATAGTCAAAGCATTGTAAAGGATATATCAGGAATTCAACAAAAAACTAATGGGGTGACTTAAAAAAGCTAGAATCAAACCAACCCTCTCAAGCTAATGATGAACCTTTCAAACAAAATAATCCCAAAAAAGAAATAAAAAAATAATGTAAAGTTCATAAAAAGAAGTGAAAGTGATGGGGGTTTGCCCCCAAAAATTTGATTTCTATTTCCCATTAGTTTTTTTTCCTTTGAAGCTTACTAGAGCAAAAGCTCGCCGATCAACGGTTCACAGGCTTTTACAAAAATGATCATCAAAAGAAGAGAGAGAAATATTTGTATGTGCAAAAGTGCAGTTACGCTGACCAGATAAAGCACTTTTCCACGAGGGTGAAGGTAGAGAAAGAGATAGTAAATTGTACAGTAGGGTATATGTAATTTAATGTATTCCTTTTTCTACCAAGGCAAAGGACACTGGTCCTTAAATGGATTATTTCACTTTATCCCCCATATTGGCTCCCATATATTACCCTATTGGAGAGTTGAAAACAATACAACAATAAATGCCCATTCTTCAGAAATTTCAGAATCAGCACATCATCACACACCACCATCCATCCATCCCTACCCCCACATGATAAGAAGCCTTCCATATTCAAATTAAACAACATTATCATAGCAATAGTTCTTAACACTAGTACAACATTCTTAGTTCATGATTAAAATCACATTATTCAATATGAAAAAAAGATCAAAAGGCCAAAAACAGCAGCAAAACCCAAAACTCTAGAGATCTAATTAGGGAAAATAAGATAGCAAAACAATAACTGCATCTGCAAATGAAACTATATTATATATATATAAATAAATCAACAGAAATTAGCAGAAAAACCCACTTTAGAATTTATGAAAAAGCATAGAAAAATATACCAACTTAATTTTTTATATATATAATGAAGGTAATGGGAAAAAACAGACATTGGAAGATTTAGTGGCGGATTTGGAGACCCGTAGACCGGAAGAGGAAGGGGTGGGAGTTGTGGGGCGGCTTTCGTTGCCCGGAGGAGAAACAGGAGAGAGAGGGACTGCATCTGAAGAAAACCTTGAAGGAACGTTAGCAGTATCAGGATGATGCTTAATGGATGCTGATGTTGATGGCGATGGAGATGAATCTTCAAGCTTTTGATGGGGTACATACAAACACATGTTCAAGCCAAGAGCCAACTTTGCTTTCCTCCATTTACTCCCCATTCTAACAAAAGGAATAAAGAAGAAGAAAAAGAACTCTCTTTTCATTTCCAAGATCCTGCGATTAGGAAAACGGAAAAACAGAGATAGATGAAGTTGCTTGGCGGGGATAGCATTTTGGTTGAAAAATAAATAAGGGTGTTGCAGTTGTTGTAAGAAGGCAAACAAGTATTTTGAGGATTTGAACAGTGAATATAACACATATTTTTCCTGAATTACGAGTGAGATTATTACTTAATTAGAGAGAAGATTAGGGAAGCTTTTGACCTTTTGGCTTTGGGAGATTGGTCAGAGATTTTGCAGCTTTTTTTTTAAATCTGATTAGGAGATGTAACCAAATTGATTTTGTATACGGTAATTGAATATCTTTAATTATTTCAAACTTTAATGCTTTAAAACACGATTATATTATTATCCCTCAGTATCCAAATTTGCATTTTCATTAAATAAATGTAACACATTCTAGATAAAGGACTGGGATATTTGATATCCTTCAAATCACTATTAAAAGAATATTCAATCTTTTTACAATGCAACTTTACAATTATTGGATTATTATTTTATCGGCGGATTTAAAAAATCAAAATAATATATAATTTTATTTTTAATATTTAAATGACACTGAAATTATATTATTTTTATTTAAAATTTGAATTATATATCTTCCTTAATTATTTAAAATAAAATCCAAAAATACGAATCATAACGTGTAATTTTAGCAACCAATAATATTAGTTTTTTAAAATGGGTGTTAGAGGAAAAAGAGTGCACTATGAAAGTACCGATGGAGAAACCTCACTATTGAATCACACGATCCAACCAAATAAACACATAGCATCCCAGATAAAGAATCAACGGGTAAGGAGAACAAATATCCCTATATATGAGTAATCGAACCCTATGAACACTATTGCCCCGTACCCATGGTACTCTACCATGCAAAGCAGTCCCCACTTAAGAAATTCTGAACATCAATCTGAGCGTCAATGATGACACAATCGAAAGTCCCAGATGCCTCAACTTCAATTGCACTGCAATCTCGATCATCCAATCCCACCAACACTCAAGTGGAGCACACCTACTATAACAAATCTGTATATGGACATACATGTCTTGCACTTGTCATAGACACACAAAAGGGATTCCCTGGTACTCTACCATGCAAAGCAATCCCCACTCAAGAAATCTCAAACATCAATCTGGGCGTCAATGATAACTCAATCAAAAGTTCCACAGGCCTCCACTTCAATTACACTACAATTTCGATCCCCCAATCCCACAAATACTCAAGTGGAACACACCCATTGTAACAAATCTGTATATGGACATACATGTCTTGCACTTGCCACAGGCACACAAAAGAATTTCCCTGGTACTCTACCATGCAAAGCAGTCCCCACTCAAGAAATCTCGAACATTAATTTGAGTGTCAATGATGACTCAATCGAAAGTCTCACAGGCCTCAACTTCAATTGCACTACAATCTTGATCCCCCAGTCCCACCAACACTCAAGTGGAGCACACCTACTGTAACAAATATGTATATGGGCATACACGTCTTTCACTTGCCACATGTACACAAAATGAATTCACTAGTACTCTACCATGCAAAGCATTCCCCACTGAAGAAATCCCGAACATCAATCTGAGTGTCTATGATGACCCAATGGAAAGTCCCACATGCCTCAACTTCAATTGCACTGCAATCTCGATTTCTCAATCCCACCAACACTCAAGTGGAGCACAACTACTGTAACATATTTGTATATGAACATACATGTCTTGCACTTGCCACTGGCACATAAAAGGAATTCCCTGGTACTCTACCGTGCAAAGCAGTCCACACTCAAGAAATCTTGAACATCAATCTGAGTGTTAATGATGACCTAATCGAAAGTCCCACAGACCTCAACTTCAATTGCACTAAAATCTCAATCCCCAAGTCCCACCAACACTCAAGTGGAGCACACCTACTGTAACAAATCTGTATATGGACGTACATGTCTTATAATACCCCAAATTTTTAGATAGTGACCAAAATGTATGTTTTGAAAGTTTATTGGTTAAAGTATAAATTCTCAAAAAAGGATATTTATTCTTGTTGTGACTTATTCAACTGATGGTAATTTATGCATAAATCCATATCTTTTTAGCAAATATTATCGGTGTATCTTTCAGAGACACACTCGATCTGATAAAACCCCGATCGAATAGCTCTTGTAATTGTGCTTCTAGATTTTTTTAGTTCAATCAGGGTCATTCAATATGAGGCTGTTGAAATAGGCATAATACCCGAAAAATATCAATCTTGAATTCACCTCACACTCAAGAGATAATTTCATATAATTTATATGAAATTTTTTAACTAAAAAAATTTTAACTAAAAAATTTTCGACTGTCGGAATATCCTCCAACTTAATCTTAGATATTCGGGAGTCTAACACATTCATCACAAAAGTTGAACAACCTTTTGACATCAGTTTCTTTAAAGTCAACACTGATATCACAATAGGCAATTAATTCGTTTTTACTCCCATTACTATTATTTCATAATCTTCCACATCTTTCAAAAATAATTGTTTCATGCGATAATCTACCTAACTATAACACGAACTCATCAAACGACAATTCCACAAGATTTGTCGGGAACACAACCCCTTGAATCTTTATCGGACAATTTCTGCTTATCCACTTTACTCTAGCATTGAGACCCAATGGATTCGTTGTTATCAATAAATTCTAGCATTTGGCCTTTTTAGGAACATAACTATAACACTCCCAACCCGTACCTAACCCGGATACGAATCCGAGGTGTCACATTGACTTTTCAAAACATTTACTTGTACAAAATAGTGAATAATTTTAAACTTTCACCAAATACAACTGAATAATTTACATAAATTATGTCAAAACGGATTATAAAACTTATTAGCGCATAAACGGATTAAAGCTTTAGTTACATGCCAACTACAATCAGTATTACAAAATACTTACTATTCAATTCTTTTCTGATCTGATCTTTGGAAATGAGAAACTGACCTGGCTTGATTAACTTTTATCATTCTTCCTCTTATCGGAACCTACGTGTGAAACAATCACACGCTAAGTTGTTGACTTAGTGAGGCATATAAAGCATATAATAGAATCCACTGAACATTTCATATAACATAATGCATACATGCACATATGCCATCACTATCAACATCAACATCATTATCATGATCTCTATCATTATCATTAACCCATTTAAAACATGTCATATTGTACTTAACATTTGTAACATATCATATAATACATTTCACCAAGCAATATACACAATATTGCATATAAATCATGTAATATACTTCATATAACAAAGCATATACATCACATACAGTGTATTTGTGTTATCTCTTTAATAACCCATGTACTAGTTCATGTATACTTTTGATATCTTTTGTAGGCCCCTGTACAGTAATGATATATTTTATAAGCCCATGAACATTACTGAGAACTCAAGGTATGTGAGTACACTGAGGTTGTGCACATATGTTGTCACCACAGATCGTATAAATTCCCACTAGGGGCATGTAAAATTATCCTGAAGGATCTCGTATATGTCCCGAAGGACCACTCCTTAAGAATCACATATATATTCCAAAGGACCAAATATGTGTCCCGAAGAACCGCATATATGTTCCAAAGGATTATATATATATCCCGAAGGACCACATAGAACTCTTTACTCTTGTATGTCCCGAAGGATCTCGTATGTACCGAAGGGCCTATTATCCCGAAGGATGTCATCTGTGTCCCGTAGGACCACTCCTTAAAAACCATACACATATTCCAATGGACCAAATAAGTGTACCAAAGTACTGCATATATGTTCCAGAGGATTACATATATGTCCTGAAGGATCACGTAGAACCCTCGACTCTTGGCATGCCAACTATACCATTAGCTCTCATATCACATAACATAGGCATTATCATTTATAAAAGTTCACATCACTTGTATCATTCTTGTATGATCTCATATATCATTGTATAACATTCTTGTATGATCTCATACATCATTGTCATATAACCCATATCACATAGGTTCATATCATATCACATATATCACATGTGCATGTAATCATGTAGATCGTATCATATAACTTATATCATTTCTCATGTGTTCATATAAACACACATGTCATATCTTGCTCACATATGAATGTATTCACATTTATTAGATTCATGTATCTCATATTTTATTTTCATATGCTCACATCAATCATGTCACATAAAATAACATGTCAAACATATCACAAGTTTTGTAATTATATTCTCATATATTCATGTAGTTCAGTATCACATATCACACACATTTGTAATCATGTCACATATAACATATGACACATATACCCATTTTCATGTACTCATGCACACATAAGCATCATATCAATCACATGCTTGTACTTATGGAATCATGCATTCAAACATGGGAAATAGACTTATTGCAAATCCTACCCAATGATGTATAAAACATTCATATATAATGTTATGCATGCATCACAAATCAAATAACATTTTAGGAGTCACTTCTTACCATAGTAACTCCATCACTGGCTCATTGCAAGCCAATGTTTGTTCTATAACATAAGTATAAATTAAATTGCACTCACCTTGACACTTTATATATCCAAAAGATGTTCTTTGCTATAATCCACAATAACCCTTTTATACTTGACTTGTCTTAGTCATAAATCAATCACGATCTATACAAATCACAATTTCATAATGATATATTAGTTAGTATTGTACTAACATAAACACATCCCCAAAACAAAATCCATAATATACTTAAAACTTATTTTCTATTAAAATACTTAACACTTAATAATTCATTTTTAATATTGACACTATTTTTTTCCAATTTATATAAAATGGTCATTCACCATTTTATCACTTAAATTTTAAATACCAGAAATTCCAGAAATTTCAGTAATTCCAAAAATTCCATAAATTCAAGAAATTTCAATACTGGAATTATTACCAACCAATTACTTTTACAAAGGTA